CTGCCTGCAGCTCAGAGTGGGATTCTGACAGTAAGATCATCTGAATTACAGCTCAGTATTTTATTTTAATGCTGTAGATCTTTCCCTACAGTTTTTATTTTTATTTCTTGTGTTATTCAAAGTCTAACACTGTGTCCAGAGTGTAGCTGTGGTGCAGCAGGCAGCTCCCCGTTTAAAGGAAGCCTTCCTGGACCCACCTGACGGAGCGATCGTCGCTGCCGGTCACAGCCAGAGGCTTTTTGGGATGAACATCCAGCGCCCAGAGTTCTCCCTCACTGTGACCCTGCATGATGAGCAGCGGCTTGTCGCGCTCTCGCACCATCACCTGAACACAACACAACTCACAGGTGGTGGAAAATACACACAACCTAATAAAACTAAGGACTTAATAGACATCAAACACCTTTAAAATTAGATATTTTATGCATTTTATCAATTTGCAAGTTTAATGAAAGGAAGGTTTAGGAAATATGTGGAGATGTTAACCAACCAGGCAGCTCAACAGCTTAAATTATTGGATTTTACTTAAAGCAATACGCTGGAAAAAATCTAAATCTAGATTAGTAATTTTTTCTTAAAATTAGTGCGTTTGTTCTTGAATTGAGGAGGTAAGAGAGACATGTTGCCATTTAAAATAAGAAAACACAATTACATTGTCTTATTTCAAGTGAATATTATCGAATTATCTTATTTTAAATGTAAAAATACTAATTTAATTGGCAAATAATCTCATTTACGTACTCAAATAAAGGGAAATAGACTTAATCTAAGGCATTTTTGCTCAATTATAGATAATTTTTCCACTGTGGGGTGAAAATCCATTTAATTGAAGGACTTTTGAGCAATAATTGAAACACCAGCAGATATTTTATAATCCTTCCTCTAAACTCATCCTATTTATTTAAATCTGTTTAAATTAAATTGTGTTTTGTTTATTTTGCAGCTTGTTTTACGTCATCTGCTGTAGAATAAACAGGAACCCGCACTGAAAAAAAATCTAAATCTACTTAAGTAATTTTTCTCTTAAAATAAGTGCATTTGTTCTTGGATTGAGGAGGTAAAAGAGACATTTTGCCAATGGAACAACAAAATTTACATTTAAAATAAGAAAACACAATTACATTGTTTTATTTCAAGTGAATATTATCTAATTATATGTTTTTAAGAGTAAAAATGCTGATTCTATTGGCAAACTATCTCCTTTAGCTAATCAAATTAAGGACAAATACAGTTAATTTAAGAAATTTTTACTTGTTTCTAGGTTGTTTTTCCAGTGCGATGAATGCACTGCAAAAACGATCCAGAAACAAGTAAAAATGTCTTAAATAAAGTATATTTACCTTTAATTTGAGTAGGAAAATAAGATGATCTGCCAACGGAATGAGTATTTTTACTCTTAAAATAAAACAATGCAATTATTTTTTTTCTTATTTTAAATGTAAATAG